CCTGCCAGCCTCTCATTACCTGCCCGTCAGCTCCTGGCTGCCATTCTCCGGGCTTCACCCCGAGACCGCCCCTCTATCGAACAGATCCTACGCCATGACTTCTTTACGAAGGTCTGTGGTTCTCCAGATGCTGCGGTTCCATCGGCCTGCGTGTTCTCAGAGGATGAAAGAGCAGGACCCTTGGGGTCTCACTTCTCTGTTTGTTTGGCTCTCGTCCTCAGGGCTATACCCCTGATCGGCTTCCTGTCAGCAGCTGTGTGACAGTCCCAGATCTGACCCCCCCCAACCCTGCGAGGAGTCTGTTTGCCAAAGTCACCAAGAGCCTGTTTGGCAGGAAAAAGAACAAGAGTGAGTGAGTCAGGCGTCAGGAGGTCAGGGTATAGAGCAGTGGCTTCTTACATTCCTCTGAGTAGGGGCTGGTTCCAGTGGGGGGACCTGTAGACTCTTGGGGAGAACATGTGTGTCTAGACACGTGGGAAGACCTGCCTGTGTGTGAACACTTTGGGAAATGTGATCAGACAGACACTGAGGGCTGTATTCCCTCACCCCCCAGATAAGAACCATTCCGAGGAACGGGATAATGTCTCCTGTTTGGTGAGCGGCCTGATGCGCACATCCCTCGGTCACCCGGATGTCAGGCCTGAGGTGAGGTGCTCATGTGAGCATTATTCCCCTGACTCACCCTGACCCTAGCAGCTGAGGGAAGCCCAGCATGAAAGGCTGATGAAGCACCCAACCTCGTGGTGGCCCTAATTGGCGGTGTGTCATTAGCCAGCTGAGGCTGACCTAGGGTGCCCTGAGAGCCGTCAGGGACGGGGCTGGGCCCCTGGGCTTTTCAAGGATTTGGATTCTGAGACCTAATCTCACTCCCTCTCTACCCAACTGTCCAGGCTCCAGCAGCTTCAGGCCCGGCCCCCGTCAGCTTGGTAGAGACAGCTGCTGAGGACAGCTCACCCCGTGGGACACTGGCAAGCAGTGGAGATGGTGAGGAGCCAGAAGATGAGAGGTGCTGGAGGTGGCTAGGGTGGAGACCAGGGGCCAAAAGGAAGTGGTTGGCCAAGGGACATGACCTGGGCCCAGGGAGGCCATTGCCTAAGTGTCAGTGCCCTGTTCCCTCAGGGTTTGAAGAAGGTTTGACTGTGGCCACAGTGGTAGAGTCTGCCCTCTGTGCCCTGAGAAACTGTGTGGCCTTCATGCCCCCAGGTAAGGCTGGGCTCTGGTCCATGCAAATAGTTTGGAAAGTTCTCTTTGACCTAGAGACCAGGGAAAGTCTTCACTCCCTCCTCTCCTGTAACAGCGGAACAGAACCCAGCCCCGTTGGCACAGCCAGAACCTCTGGTGTGGGTCAGCAAGTGGGTTGACTACTCCAACAAGTTTGGCTTTGGGTATCAGCTGTCCAGCCGCCGTGTAGCCGTGCTCTTCAACGATGGCACACACATGGCCCTGTCAGCCAACAGGAAGTAAGTGCTATTTGGGGGCACTTTGTATTTAGGCTGTTGTACCAAGCAGAGTTGCACCCTGGTGTTTCTGGGTTCAGGGCTCTCAAATCCAAAGGGGAGGAACGATAACGCCAGGCTCCTTCTCTGCTTTCCACGTTCTTTCAGGATCGTGCACTACAACCCCACCAGCGCGAAGCACTTCTCCTTCTCTGTGGGGTCTGTACCCCGTGCTCTGCAGCCTCAGCTGGGCATCTTGCGGTATTTCGCCTCCTACATGGAACAACACCTCATGAAGGTGTGTAGGCTGCACGGGGGGGATGTTAGGGACTCGGGCATCTTTGATTCTCCATCATTGGTGAGGGGGGAAGGGTGACTCAAGGGTAGTGATTGGACCTGTAAGGGCAGGAGACAGCCATAGGGAGAGACCCAGTTCATGCCAGTCTAGTGACCTGACCTGCCTATTCTCCCAGGGTGGAGATCTGCCCAGTGTGGAAGAGGTAGAGGTGCCTGCCCCACCCTTGCTGTTGCAGTGGGTCAAGACTGATCAGGCCCTGCTCATGCTGTTCAGTGATGGCACTGTCCAGGTAAGAGTCCATCCTGGAGTTGAAGGGATGGCCTGGTAGGCCCAGGGTTCTGGGAAGGTGTGAGTCTGGTGTCCAAGCCCTGAACGCTGTTACCTTCTGTGCACAGGTGAACTTCTATGGGGACCACACAAAGCTGATCCTCAGTGGCTGGGAACCTCTCCTTGTGACTTTTGTGGCCCGAAATCGCAGTGCTTGTACTTACCTCGCCTCCCACCTCCGGCAGCTGGGCTGCTCCCCAGACCTGCGGCAGCGGCTGCGCTATGCTCTGCGCTTGCTCAGGGACCGAAGTCCTGCTTAGGTTCCAACCTGCAGAGCAGGCTGTGATCACACCCCGGGCCTGTGCCTGAAAGACTCGGGCCCTTGCCTTTGTGGCCCTTCCTGTCCCTTTGGTGCCTCACTGGGGGCTCTGGGCCGAGTCCCCAGGGAATCAGGGACCAGCTTTACTACAGTTGGGGATGGCCTGTCCTCCTGTCTCCCTTTCTCCCTGAGATAAGCCTGAGCCTTAGCTCCCAGCTCGGGGGCATTATTTATGGACCACTTTTATTTATTAACACATTTATTTATTGGGATGTGAGCCCCAGGGGGGCCTCCTCCTGGGATAATAAACCGTTTTTTCAGAACTTAAAGGCTTTATCATTCCCAGTAAACCGCGTGGACAGTAGCCACGGCGAACAGTGAAGTGTTGGTGAAGGTGGCAGAGGCCAGTCCATCATGTACTGCGTCCCAGAGTGCCCGGCTGGCCACATGCACGCCCTGTCTCTCGCGTGGTCCCAGCACCACACTGCACACCAGTTTGTAGCGGGGTAGGCTGAGCTCCCGCACACGTATGCGTATCTGTTCACACAGCTCCTTTGCCAGTTTTCCTGCCTCGGTACCCGAGTAGCACACATTGCTCAGCCCTGCATCCAGTGCTGCCTCCAGGACACGCTGAGCGCTTGCAGCTTCCCAACGCTCGCCTGGCGCTGGTTCGGTGCGGTATGAGGGTGCCATCCGACGGGCAGGCATGATGGGTAACCCAGAAAAACTAACTCGTGAACCTAAAGGAGGCATCAGGCCCAGGGATGGTCGTCGACCTCCAAGACCTACTAGGGGTCCTGCCAGTGAGTTGCGGCGTGAAAAGGATGGGTGTAGGCTCAGCAGGGAGCCGCGACGGGAGGCTGGGCCTGGGCCTACAGGTCTGGTCTCATCAATGCTGGCCAGGTGACCTCCAGACTTCCCTGGTGGTAATTTCAGAGCCAGGTCTTTGGTAGTATCCTCTTCCGGGTGTCCTGATTGCAGAGTCCTGCCAGCCATGGCTCTGCCTGCTGGAAGATCCACACTTAGGAGTGGCCCTTACTGGCTCAGATCTCCCTACACCCTGCCTCTTGCTTGGGGAAGCTGAGGTTTCTTTTCTCTCTCTCTCTCTCTCTCTCTCTCTCTCTGTTTTAGATAATGCCTCCTGTGGCCTCCAACTCTTTGTGTGGCTGAGTCTGGCCTTAAACTCCCCCCTCCGGCCTCCAGCCCCTAAGTGGTGGGATTACAGTGCGCCACTACACTCAGTGCCTCCGTAGTAGACTTAGAGAAGGTTAAGAGCAAGGGAAAGGCTGCTCGGTCTGTGCTTCGGGAACCTCTGCCCAGAGTTCTCCCTTGGTCGCCATGGAGCTGACTGGGTGAGCAGGAAATCCACTTCCTTTCTCCCCTCCCACTTGATTTCACCAGCAGAATGGGGACATGAAGTTGGTTTCTAGATTTCTTGAATCCAGAGCCAGAAGGGGCAGACCCAACCCCATCACTCCCATAGATCTCCCTGGCCTCAGAAGCATGGGACGTAATCATCTTCCCTGCTCTAAGTAGGCTGTGACTTATCTCCCCCTTGCCCCGCTGTATCCGGAGGCAGGCGATGAGTGAGGCGACGTCCATCCTCCTTAGGTCTCGGGAAACTCCCTCAGGCACCTGACTCACCTGTAGCCTTTGACCTCCAAGCTCTGCTGGCCCCCAGTCTTCACTGAGCTGCCCTCCCTGCCAGGCCTGTAGGTGGTGAAGGCTTGTGTTGTGCAGTAACCATGGGGCTGCTGTGGCAAGCATGCCACTCCCTCCCAGAACTCCTCCCTCCAGCCAAACTCTGGAATAACCTAAGCACTACTGCTATGAGCACCTGCTGGGGGGAGGGAAAGGCACCCTGAGTTATGCGGGGGGGGGGGGGGGCGTCCACAGGGGCTTGGAGTACTAAAGCATCACAGCCGAGGGGGCAGGTGTAGAGAGGTGTGATGGACAGGAAGGTGCTTTTGAGCTACTATTATGAAGTGGCCAGTCAACTGGCCTAGCCATTTGTGAACAGATCACAGGGGCCTGAGATATGCTAGAACCTTGAGACTTACGGGGGCGACTTCTTAGGAATCCAGTATCTGGGCTCACAGGAAGGAGTACGTCATGGTTTTACATTCTCCCATCAGCCTCAACGAGGACAAACATTTCCGTTTCAGGGCAGAGCTAGGGTGGGGCTTGGATGACTTCCTTACGCCAGAGCTGTGTGCTGAGGAGGGGAGGCCTTTTGGCTCAGTGGGAAAGACCCAGGCCTCGCATGGCCATGACTCAGTGGTGCCCTGGAACTTGTCCCCAGATGGCCATACCTCCTTCATCACCCAGTACATAATACCTCTTCCCCTAGGGATGATTGCCTCTTGGTGATGCCTTGCCTGCCCTGCTCTGGGAGGCATGGGGCTGCCCCTCCCAGGCAAACTTAAGTCTGAGCTCTGAAAACCACACTTAGGGGTAAGAATCTTCCCTGATGAGGTGATGATGTCTCAGGCCTGCTAATTCCGGTTCTAGACTGAACCCCTAGGGAAGGGATTGGAGGGCAGAGGCCTTACATTCTGAACCCAGTGTAGGCAGGCAGGAGCCAGCACTAGGACCCTCCAACTCTTAGAACCCTTCTACCGCTGAAATATTTTCCTAGGCGGGTAGGGAGATGGGCGGGGCCTCCTCAGGCTCAGCTCCAGTTTCCATGGAAATTCACAGGCTTCCCACCCAGCTGCTGCCTGGGCAGGCTCCCAGCCTGGGCCTCATCCACAGCCAGCTTCTCTGGGATCATAGGCCTGCCCAGCGGCAGCTTCTTTGGGTCCTCTCTGAACCCGCATCGCTTACCTGAACCTCAGGTTTTCTTTAGGGACCTGGGCCTCTTTTGTCCTAGACCTTCAGCTCCTCAGCAAACGGTCTCTACAGCTCCTGCCCTCCCTCTCAGGCCTCTCTTGCCTCACTAGGCCATTTCACCCTTTGTTCTGCTGCTCATCCCACTCATGGAGAACCCAGGACTGGTTGTGCACGGGCAGGCTGCTTCCTTTTCCACAGCACTCCGAAGTCTTGTCAACAACCCCCGGTACAGGTGAGGCAGTGACGCCCTGGTGGGTTTTCCTTAGCTTGTTCTCACTGGCCTATGGATGAATTTGAGGAGGCTAAAGGTGAAGAGGCCAGGAAAGAGCACTTGGCCTCCTTGGTGAGCTCAGTCTATGAGGAAGTCAAGTAGAGATGGTGTCTACTGGCCTGTGTCCATGCTATCCTGAGAGTCAGAGGTGGGGGCAGTGAGGGATAGACAGGAGGGCAACTTTGTAAACTCAGGCAAAGCCCTTCCTTCTCTGGATTGAAGGAGGAATCTCCAACCCCCTCAGCCCTGAAAGGTGGGATTTGATCTGATTCACTCGAGTTGGGTATTCAGCTAAGTGCTAGACTTCTTTCCTTGAAGAGACGAGAGTGGAGGACTCTGGGGAGTCCTAAGAGGAACGAAGCCCAAAGGATTGGGTCAGAGACCCAGACAGGAAGTAGTTCAAGGTTGCTGACCGCCCACGGCTTGCCGATGAGGCTAAGTGCTGTCTGAAACCGGGAATAGTGTTTACTGGGGGCAGGGCTGGTCATGGGAGACGGATTGCTGCTTCCCATCCCCGCTGTCTCAGAGGCTGCCTGCTCCCCAGGGTTAGTGGCTGTCATACTTCTCTTTTTCTTGAGGGCAGAGTGTCACAGTCTGGCCTAGAGGGTGAAACCTTAGGCCCTGAGCCTGGGAGGAAGAGGCAGGGGAAGCTGAAGCTTTCTCTGCTGCCTCCCCCTGTACCTTATGCAGGGCTTCAGAGGCCCAGAGGCTGGGGCCGGAAGTGATCGCGAAGATGGAAAATGTGGTCTCACCTCATGATGGTGCATCAATGCCATGGCGGTCGCACTCAGTGTGCTCTGCACCCCACATCCTCACACCCTCCTACGGGAGGAAGAGTGAAAATGCTGAGCTGGCATCTCGTGGGCGCTGTACCGCGAGGGGTTTCCTTGCCCCCGGGACTCAGGCTGGAGAGCCATCAATCTTGTTCGCATGAACCCTGGCATCCCCTTTGCCCAAGCATAGTCAACTCCTCTGAGACCCGTGGTCACGGCTGAGAAGTGCGAGAGTCAAAGACAGAAAGTCACAGCGTCGAAGGGGGACTAGAGTTGAGCCCGTGTCTCCCGGGCGTGGGCTTTGACCTTACAGAAAAAGAAGCTAAGTCCCAGTGTGGCAGAGGCAAAGCCAAAAGTGTGACCTAGGTTCAAGATTCTCTTCTCTGGCTCTCTGTCCTCTCTTCCACAGCGATGTTTGCTTTGTGGTTGGTCAAGAACGGCAAGAGGTGTTTGCCCACCGGTGCTTGTTGGCCTGTAGATGCAACTTCTTCCAGAGACTTCTGGGGACAGAGACGGGCCCTGGGGTACCTAGTCCTGTGGTGCTAAGCACGGTGCCGACCGAGGCCTTCTTAGCTGTGCTGGAGTTCCTGTATGCCAACAGCGTCACCCTGCACCGCTACTCAGTGAGCCTCCCAAGCAGGGGTCTGGGGAGGGGATGCACTGGGGATACAAGAGGTGGGGAGTCTGCCCATTCTGCTGGGGGTTGAGGGGCAGGGGAAACTCCCTTCTGTTCCCTCAACTGCCACCCCCTGTGCAGGTGCTGGAGGTGCTGACAGCAGCTGTGGAATATGGGCTGGAGGAACTTCGAGAGGTGGGTGTCTCAGGCAAGCTGTCTTGTTTCCCTCGCCTTAGTGCGTCGCCTCCTTCACACAGCATGACCTCATGCAGACAGAAGGATGGACACAGGATCTGCACATGCTCAGTGTGTGCTGAGCAAGCATCGGAAGTATTTCTGGCTGGTTCTGCAGTACAAGGGTAAATTGGTTTTGGCCCATAGTTGAATGGAGAAAGATACATGAAGACATTTGACATGCGTGGGCCGTGGTGTTGCAGGCTAGTATCCCAGCATCTGAAGGCTGGGGAGGATGGCAAGTTTAAGGCTAGCCTGAACTACTTAGGGAGTTCAGGCTAGCCTTGGCTACAGAGTGAGACTTAAGTCTCAAAAAGCTAAACTGAAAAGCAGGGGTCTAAGTGGGATAGGCAGACTGCTGATGTATGGAGAGAGATTTCTAGAGAAGGAAACTGCTGTGTTAGAGCTTGAAGAACAAGTAGGGTTTTGTTCAGGAGAGTGGGAAGATGACTTTATAGTCACAGGGCACTCAAGGAGCTGCTTAGATATGTGGTGTGGTTGGACTGGGAACATGGGTGTGGGGTGAACTGGAAGGGTACCAGGAGGCTAGTTCATTCAGGTGCTTCAAGAATTTGTGTTTTAGGCTGGAAGTGTAGTTCAGTGGTAGAATACTTGCCTAGTATGCTACAGGCCCTGGGTTCAATTCCCAGCCCTAGCCTGGTGTGGTGGTATATACCTGTGTTTCTAGCACTTGGTAGGCAGAGTAGAGAGGAGGATAAAACCAAGTTCATGGCCACCCTAGTTTACAGAGTGAGTTCTGGGTCAGCCAAAGCTACACAGCAAGGCCCTGTGTCAGCTTTCCCTCTCCTGGAGATCTTTCAATGCAAGGGTGGTAGAGACTCACTGAATGCTTTGGGCAAGGGAGCTAAGGGGGAAAGGGATCGAGAGATAAGGAAAAAGGAAAGGCCTGTCCAGCCAGTCAGATTAGTGTCAAAGTCAAGAGGGTGTGTCCAAGCAGGAAATGGCAGTCCAAGAGAGGTGGGTGGCTCTGAGAGGAGACAGCTGGCAACACCCAGTGCTTTGCTGGAAGACAGGGAGATGTCAAGCATGAAATTTAAGGTTCTGTTAAAAATAGAAATGCTGTTGAGTCAAGGAGGGGACCCAGTGCGGGAAGACAGTGAGGGAAGAGGAGGCTGGAGTTTTGGATAAGTCTCAGTGGAGAGAGGTGTACTAGGGCTCTTTGGGCTTGGTTTGCTAGCCTCCAGGCCCTCTAGGCTTACTAAATTACAGGTCCCAACAATTCCCTGGTTCCCAAGTCTGGGAGGTCAGGATGGCTCCGGGGCTTCTGGGAGTCTGAATGATCCACAGCTTCTAGGGTAGGACTTGAGGCCTTGAAACAAGGACACCACCACACAGTTCACTTTCGTTTCTGTCCCCAGTTATGCTTGGAGTTTGTGATGAAGGTTCTGGATGTGGAGCTGGTTTGTGAGGCCCTGCAGGTGGGTACTGCTGGGCAGCCCTGGGGAGGAATCTGATTTTTAGAATGTGGCCCTGGCCTCTCCTTTCCACATGCCAGAAGCCTTGACTGACAACAAGAACGATATGAGAACCAAAAAAAAAAAAAAAAAAAAAGCAAAAAGCTGGTCCATGGTGGTGCACACCTTTAATCCCAGCACTTGGGAGGCAGAGGCAGGTGGATGTCTGTGTGTTCGAGGTCAGCCTGGTCCAGGACAGGCTTGAAAGCTTCAGAGAAACCCTGTCTTGAAAAACAAAAAAAAACGGGGCCTGGAGAGATGGCTCAGTGGTTAAGAGCATTGCCTGCTCTTCCAAAGGTCCTGAGTTCAATTCCCAGCAACCACATGGTGGCTCACAACCATCTGGAATGAGGTCTGGTGCCCTCTTCTGGCCTGCAGACATACACACAGACAGAATATTGTATACATAATAAATAAATATTAAAAAAAAGAAAAACAAAAAAAAAAACAAACAGATGAAAAAAGGTGTGAGGGTGTGTATGCTCAAGGACACTTATGAGATAAACTCCGCCCTGATCTGCGGGGTGTAGAGAACACCAGTAAGGTCCTGCATAGGAGCAAGAGTCAAACGGCTGGGAGAGGCAGGCATGGTGACACACACCTTTAATCCTAGTACTCAGGAAGCAGAGGCAATCAAATCTGAGTTTGAGGCCAGCCTGGGCTACAGAGTGGCCTTGTATTAAGAGTGGGAAATGGAGCCAGGAGGTGGAAGTGGCACATGCTTTTAATCCCATCACTGTAGAGGTAGAGGCAGGTGGATCTCTGAGTTTGAAGTCAGCCAGGGCTACACAGAAAAAAGTGGGAAATGGCTCTAAGCAGAGATGGGGGAAGGTGGGATGTGGAGTTTAGAAGCCAAACTTGGGCTCCCAGATGGAGTTTGAAGGACCTGAACATGGTCCCCAGGTCTAATTTCATGAGACATTGCATGTGCTGTCAGCCTCCCCATTCGGATGGCGCTCAGGCTTGTGGTAGTCCCTAGTATGCAGAGCTGGGTCACAAGGCCTCTCCAGTCTCTAGCCTGACCACCTTCACTCTGCTCTCAGGTGGCTGTAACCTTTGGCCTGGGGCCGCTGCAGGAGCGGTGCATAGCCTTCATAGAGGCTCACAGCCAGGTACAGCTCCCAGCATTATTATTCCTGTAGCCTGTCTTCCCTACGCCACTCTGCTCTGCTCTGATCAAATACACCGATCCATAGGAGGCTCTACGAACCCGCGGCTTCCTGGAGCTATCGGCCACTGCGCTGCTGCCCGTCCTACGCAGTGACAAGCTCTGTGTGGACGAGGCTGAGCTGGTCAAGGCAGCCCGAAACTGGGCGCGCGTGGGCGCCGTGAGTGGGACCTGGGGGAGGCGAGGGCGAAGCGGCGGAGGCCGCAGGAACTCGGCAAGCGGACGGCAGGGCACAGGCCGCCGCTCCGCCGGGGCTTAAGGTTCACTTCCACAGGCGGTGTTGGAGCGACCGGTGGCCGAAGTGGCGGCTCCAGTGGTTCGAGAGCTGAGACTGGCCTTGCTGGCCCCGGCGGAGCTGAGCGCCCTGGAAGAGCAGAACCGACAGGAGCCGCTCATCCCGGTGCGGACGCGAGTACCCGGGCTCAGATTCACTCTGCCACGTGGGGATGAGGAGCCAGGGCCCTTGCCAGGGACTTCGGACTGCATGGTGACCCTCCTTCTCCTACAGGTGGAGCAAATTGTGGAGGCGTGGAAGTGCCATGCCCTACGGAGAGGAGATGCGGCCCCGGGCGCACCGTGCAGGCGGCGAAGGGGAACCCTGCCCCGGGATCACCACCGTTTTCTGGACCTTCGTTTCAAATGATCCACTTCCGGAACTTGGGAGGCATCTGCTCTGATCACACTCCAAACTACAGCTCCCGAGGTGCCCTGCGCCCGAGGCGGGCTTCCGCCCCCAGCAAGCCCTGCGAGCCGGAGGCCGGAAGGACCATGTAGGGGCGGGCCAGTGCCAGTGGACCCGAGTTGGAGTCGTGTCACGGGCTCGGGCGACGCCCCGAGGCCGGAAGCGAGGGTGGCATGTGTTCCATGAGCTCACACCACATCCTGCTGCCGGTCACTCCTCTGTCCCTCTATTCGGTTGACGCTGTTATCTATGTAGCGCATCCTCCTTAACAGCAAATCAGCTTCCTGGCTCCAGGCTCAGCACGGAGCTTCTCATCTTCTCTCTCCCAATCCCGTAAATACTGTTTCTCATTTCTGCGGGTCAGGAACCAGGATCTCTTCTTGCTTACCTCATGCCCTTTCTCCCTTCCAATAGTACTTTCGAGTTGGTTTAGGCTGCAGCCTATCTTCTGTCACTTTTGGGGATCTTTTCCGCCATTACCCCGCCAGTGCCCCCTCCTCACTTCTTCCCCCCACCCCCAGTGTTCATTGCATCCCCGTTCCATCGTTGTGATTGTCACGCCCTTCCCTGAGTCTTTCAGCATTCCAGGACAAGCTACTAAAGTTTCTAGATATTTAGCGGTTCTTAACATTGAGTTTGGGAGTTCCAGAATTAACTTTTTTGGGGGGTAGGAGGTGGGTAATATCTCACTGTGTAATCCCAGCTGGCCTAGAACTCATTTTGTAGGCCAGGCTAGCCTTGAACTCACAGAGCTCTGCCTGCCTCTGCCTCCCCGGTACAGCGATTAAAGGCATCATGTACTATTCCAGCTAAATTAAAAACAACAACAAAAATGCTGGACAGTGGTGGCACAGGCCTTTGATCCCGGCTCTGGGGAGGCAGAGGCAGACGGCTCTCTAAATTCGAGGCCAGAGTGGTCCTCAGAGCAAGTACCAAGACAGTCAGGACTACACAGGGGAACCCTGTCTAGGAAAATTAAAAACAAAACAAAACAACCCATAAAAACCTCTTTTTTTTTTCTTTTTTTTTTTTTTTGGTTTTTCGAGACAGGGTTTCTCTGTGGTTTTGGAGCCTGTCCTGGAACTAGCTCTTGTAGACCAGGCTGGTCTCGATCGAACTCACAGAGATCCGCCTGCCTCTGCCTCCCGAGTGCTGGGATTAAAGGCGTGCGCCACCACCGCCCGGCTAAAAACCTCTTAAAGAGATGGGAAGGAATATTAACTCTGTTGCTCAGGCTGGTCTGGACTTACTGAGCTGAAACCGTTCCACCTCAACACCCTCACCTTCAGTAACTGGAACTACTGTGGTATTAGATGTATATATATATTTTATATATTTTTTCCAAGAAAAACCACTGCTGCCTGGCTCCTAGCAAATAATTTTAAAGGAGTTGTAAAGCAAGATTTAAAAACGAAGGACAGTGGACAATTTAAAAGGAAATAAAATTATAAATCTGACATATAAAAATGTTTGCTTATGGATTAAAGATGGCTATTCGTATTCTCTCTCAAGATTGAACAGGTGGCTCCCCGGTGGGTACCCTTGTTTGGGTAGTGAACACTGAAAGAAATTTGCTGCTTGCATGCCTGTAATTCTCTTGCTTTTGGTTACTTTATTCTACACCAACTTTCGAGGTCATGTACTAAGCCTGTGATGCTTCCATTAGCGTGGCTGTAGCACTATGATGAAAACGGCCTTCTAAGTAGTTGTCAAGAGCTTGGAAATCATTCATGTTTCTTGAATCCAACAATCCTACACTTGAAGACAGAACACTCAACCTCTCATGCAGGCAATGACGTGTTCACGAGGCAAGCATAGCATGGTGGAATAGGCCTGTGGGTGGAAGCACTCATGAAGTGGACATAGGATCAGCAGTTTGAGGCCAGCCTAGGTTAGTTACATGATGAGACCTGTTTCAAAAAACAAAATAGGGCTGGAGAGTTGGCTCAACAGTTAAGAGCACTGGTTACTGGCTGTTCTTCCAGAAGTCCTGAGTTCAATTCCCGCAACCATTTGTAATGAGATCTGGTGCCCTCTTCTGGCCTGCCTTTCTACCTGCAGGCAGAATACTGTATACATCTTTAATAAACTGGGCGTGTTGTCACACACCTTTAATCCCAGCACTGAGGCAGATCTCTAGTGGTGCAATACAGCAAGATCTAGTCTCAAAAAACAAAAACCAAGAGGCTCATAATGACCCTCCTGCCTCAGCTTCCCAAGTGATAGAATTAATGACAGGCATGGACCACCACACCCTAGACTCTACATTCAAACCTCTATGAAAGAGAAGATAGAAAAAACAAGGCTTTCAAAATTTGATTATGAGCTGGGTGTGGTGGCTCATATCTGTAATCCTAGCACTGGGACCTGGACAACTTTGCCTGCTTCCAGACACCTGGAACACAGAATGAGAGGCTTTTTCCAAAAACAAGCCAACTAAAGCGTGGTGGTGATACTGGAGAGAAGGCTCAGTTGCTCTGGGAAAAGTCCAGAGTTCAATCCCTAGGACCTGTCAGGTAGCTCGTACACACCTGGGACTCAAGCTCCAGGGGCTTTGATGTCTCTAGTCTCCATAGGTGTCTGAATGCCACATTCACATGCCCCACACAGACATTACTAAAAATAAGGTAAACCTAAAGGAAAAAAAATGTTGACTCAGAAGTGTTCCTCTTCATGGAAATGTTTGTGAGAAAGATGAAAGAGGTCAGTGATACGAAGAAAAACCAGAGGATGGGTGTGTCCTTTTGTTTCCAGCCTCCCAGAGGTTCAGTGCCTCAGATGCACGGTGCAGGTTAACACATGTATGTTTCCTACAAGTCAGTTGTATCCTATGATCGTGATCCTCAGGGCTGGAACTCAAGCACAGCGAAACTGTCTGCTCTTGATGCACCATGGGTCTGCAAATGAGAAGGCCTCTGCCGGGCTTGGTAAAGCAGCTGTGGGAATGTGGGTGGGCAGAACTGACCCAGAGGAAGCTGTGGATCCCAGCCCGCTGCTCTCTCCGCTTCTCTGCCCGGGACCTTGCTCTGTCTTCCCTCGTGCAATCTGGGATTGCTAAAATATTGGCTCCAATGCTTGGGTGACTGTTTTGTTGTTCCAGACTGGTAGAGCACCCTCAGTTTCAGACTGAGCAGCCCAGCTCAGCCCTCAGCAGCAGGACACACAGGAGGCATGCTACCACTCCTCTGGCAGCTGTCATCCAGGTTATCTTTTTTTATATTTTGCTTTTGGAGACAGGGTCTCTCTCTATAGTCCTTGCTGTCCCAGAACTCACTCTGTAGACCAAGTTGGCCTTGAACTCACAGAGAGCCACCTGTCTCTGCCTCCTGAGTGCTGGAATCAAAAAAATATGCTACCAATGTCTGGTTCCAGTTTTTTGTTTTGTTTCGTTGTTTTTGTTTGTTGTTTATTTGTTTTGAGACAGGGTTTCTCTGGGTAACTTTGGAGCCTGTCCTGGAACTAGCTTGCAGACCAGGCTGGACTCAAATTCAGAGATCCACCTGCCTCTGCCTCCCGAGTGCTGGGATTAAAGGCGTGCGCCACCACTGCCTGGGTTGTTTTAATTTAGAACAGTGTCTCACTCTATTCTAAAGACAGTTTAGGCTGGTCTCAAACTCACAGCGATTCTCCAGCCTCAGCAAGGCTGAGATAGCATCCGGTTCCTCTTGAAGGATGATTGGGCTGAGGACAAGGGAAGCTGAGGAAGAACCTAGGCAGAGGGAATGCAAGTTCAAAGTTATGGTGATACAAACACTAGTGGTTCATTCTTATCCAGAAAGTGGAGTGCGTTTTAAAGAGGCTCTGTCTGGTAGAGGAGGTTAGCCCTAGTGGAGCCTGGAATGAGATTAGGCTTGATCTACAGCATGGGGAGCCATGGAAGGGTGCTAAGCCAGAGGGTGGAGTATGGCTAGGTGCTACACTGGGTGAGCTCACTTTACAAGCAGTGTAGGACTTCTCACCTCAGGCTGGATGAGGTCAGTGCACCTGGGGTGGTTCAGCTCTGACTGGATCCATTCAGTGACACCCTCACATTCCTCAGGGCTGCATGGATCACGCAATCAGGGTAAGAACTTTCAACACAGCTGTGAACAATGTTCCTAAAAGGAAGCGCTCCTCCTGCAAGGATGACTAAGTCATCAGAACCTCCGTGATGTGCTGAGGTTGGAATGCTATGTCTGGAGCCAAAGGATCTTGGGACATCTTTGGCCCCACAATAGCCATTTATCGTCCTCCGTACATGACATCACATCTTTGTGCTGCTACCTAAGGTTCCCACCAATGTTGGCTGCCACTGTCGGCTTTACTTTTTTTTTTTTTTTTTTTTGGTTTTTCGAGACAGGGTTTCTCTGTAGCTTTGGAGCCTGTCCTAGAACTAGCTCTTGTAGACCAGGCTGGCCTTGAACTCACAGAGATCCACCTGCCTCTGCCTCCCGAGTGCTGGGATTAAGGGCGTGTGCCACCACAGCCCAGTGTTTTGTTGTTATTGTTGTTTTATTTTACTTTTTTCAAGACAGAATTTCTCTGTGTAGCCTTGGCTGTCTTGGAACTCACCCTGTAGACCAGACTGGCCTCAAACTCTGACTTTCACCCTAGAAACATAGCACATACACACTCAACTACCTACCTATCCACTAAATGTTATAATAAAAAGGGCAGCATTTCATCTAGCCCAGGCTAACCCCAAACCCAAGTGGCAGAGGATGGCCTCTGATCCTACCACCTGAGTGCTTGGATTACAGGTCTTCATCACTATGCCAGCTAACTTGAATTCGTTTAAGGCATTTTAGTATGGGTTGAGCTGCAATGTGTTTTGTCTCTGTGTGACGTTTGGTTGGACCATGATATTCCGACCTTTGTATGGGTGAGGTGTGAGAAGGCAGTGTGCCTGGGTGGGATTATTCCTGGTGAGTGGCGGCTGGAATGCAGGGAGTCTGTCCATCAGGGGTAACTGGGAGAGGGGGAGGAAAGACCTCGCCCTTCATTTGGGTGAGGCTCTGAATGCAGCCCAGGGTTGTGCCTCGGCTCTTTCAAGGCCTCTGTACGACAGGGCTACTCAACTCTTCACCACCAGAAGCTTAAATCAGTGGGGTTATTAGCTTGGGCATCGACATCCTGGGGACAATCTCCCGCCCGCATGGTTAGCTGGCCAAAGACAGTTTCCTGCCTCCCAGCCACCGCTGTGGGTGCACAGCAGTTCTGCCATGGAGGTTGCTTGGGCCAGGGCTCCTTCCACAAACCTCCTAAAATAGCACCCTAGGCCCTGCTTCCTTCATCTCTTCTTCAGCTGGCCACTTTGCTGACCTTCCATCTCATCATGTCTTCCTGGATTTGCCCCTCCCTGGCTTACTAAGGAGCAGGGAGCCGGAAGCTGAGCCTGGAGAGGTGGGCAGGACTGGAATGCCAAAGGAACTCAGGCTTGCATCATGTTCTATGTTAAGCATTTTTTTTTTTTTCCGAGACAGGGTTTCTCTGTAGCTTTGGGGTCTATCTTGGAACTAGCTCTTGTAGATCAGGCTGGCCTCAAATTCACAGAGATCCGCCTGCCTCTGCCTCCCGAGTGCTGGGATTAAATGTGTGCACCACTACTGCCCGGCTATGCTAAGAATTTTTTTTTTTTTATAATGTTACTTCTTTAAAAAAAGATTTATTTATTTATTTATTTATTTATTTATTATACAACATTCTGCCTCCATGTATACCTGCAGGCCAGAAGAGGGCACCAGATCTCACTACAGATGGCTGTGAGCCATCACGTGGTTGCTGGGAATTGAACTCAGGACCTCTGGAAGAGCAGCTAGTGCTCTTAACCACTGAGCCATCTCTCCAGCCCTGCTAAGAATTTTTTAAAAACAGATCTGTAAAAAACTGTATAGGGCCCTGATCATCTGCAAATACTGGGTCGGTATGCCACCCCGGTCCAGTGTCCTCACATAGGCAGATAGGAAGCCTTTTCTATGTGGCCTTCACAGGGGCCTAGCTGGAGCTGTGGCTTCTGCCTTGGTTTGAACCTTGGGCTTTAGTTGG